ATATGTAAACAATGATTGAACAGACTTAATCTATGATTAGATGCGTCACAAAGGTCCAAATTTGATGCTTGATTTGTGCTGAGTTAACTGGTTGAAAAAAAGATAATTATCGGGACAGTATAATTGGCCTCAGAACTCTGAAGCTAAAGGAGAAGAAATTGGATTAGGCTCCTAATCCTGCTAGGAATCTTGAAATCCTGCATTTGTGAATGCAGATATTGAACATAACTACAAGGAAAAGCAAAGAGGAAAAAGAGAGTTGGGAGACAGGGTTAGGGCAGGGAAAGGGAATCACTAGAGTTCAGACAAGTGAGGTGGCATCTCATCGAGGCTTATAACATTCTGACAGGACTAGACAGGGTAGATGCAGGGATGATGTTCCCGATGGTGGGTGTCTACAGAACCAGGGGTCACCGTACGAGGATTCGGGGTAGACGATTTAGGACGGAGATGAGGAGACATTTCTTCGCCCAAAGAGTGATGAGATTGTGGTATTCATTACCACAGGAAGTAGTTGATGCCAAAACATTAAATGTATTCAAGAGGTGACTAGATATAGCACTTGGGGCGAATGGTATCAAAGGTTATGGGGAGAAAGCCGGATTAGCCTACTGAGTTGGACGATCAGCCATGATCGTGAAGAATGGCGGAGCAGAATCAAAGGGCCGAATGGCCTCCTCCTGCTAATATCTTCTATGTTTCTATGTTAGTGTTGAACAGAACAATAGTAAGCTCAAATTGAATTATAGAATCATTCCAGAGACAAAATAAATATTTAAATGATATTGTTTATGCCATTTTCCTCCTTGGCAGAATGATGCTGAAGAGAACCTCTGTCTTCAACATCACAACACTTGTTCTCTTACAGTGTTATCTAAGTTATAGGATTGATGATTGATAACAGAGCTATCGAATGATGAATCAAACCCTGTTTAGGGAATCAAGTACAATGATTCATCTCTCAATGATTTCAAAAATCTACCTTTTATTTGCATCAAGTGTTACACATATCAATCTTGTATCCAAAAAGATATTGTAGGAATTAGTCCGGCTGAATTCCATAAATAAAGGACATTATCTGAGCCTGAAAATGCTTTCAAACAAACCTCTAACAGATTCATTCTTTACATTTGCTTTGTATTGGTTTAAGTATCATAAACTGCTGTTGGTTGCTTAAAGAAAGTATTTTTATCGCTCAAGTGAGCATTGTTTTAGAAAAACAAGTGATGCCATAATGCCGACCTCAGATTTCTATTGTACTCTATTTATAGGTTTACCCTGGATATTGAAAATTGATGACACCTCTGCTAACAGAGGTCCCGTGCTGAAATTTTATAAATGTTCAGCACAGCGAGGCCCGTAGGGGTCACTGGGGAGCCAAAGCCAACAGTATAACAGTGAAAAAAGCACTTTTCTGGTCAATCAAAAGAGAGGCAGTAACTGGGGAATTCGGTTTGCAATGATTTTTTTGTAGATACAATAACAGGTAAACAGACAGCAGCGAGACTGGCATCCCAAATTATTTCCTCAAATGAGTTATGGAGCCTGATATTTTATCAAACTACAACATTTCACTCAAAATTTTGCTCATTTATATGATTATTTGGAGCAGGCTAATTCTGTAGTCAGAATTTTCCAAAACTTAACAGTATATACCAGTGCTTCGGACTAATTAGATTCCACTGGTATCACTTTTCTCCCCATTAAAGCTACTTTCTTCATTGAATGTATTGGCCCAGATTTTCTAGTCAGTGGCAAGTGAATGGCATTCATTACATTTCACAGTTAGCTGTAGACACTGTCTGCTTTTAAGGGGCAACCATAGGCAATTAGAAAATCCATTTCAGAACAGCACCCTTGGGGAACCTTCAGATTCACAGCGAACAACAAGGAAGTGTGTCGCTTCAATCATTCAGATTGAAGAATTATTACCAAGTCGGGCAAAGCATAAACCAGGTTCAATTTAGAATATTCAACTGAACGTAAAATAATGCAAAGAAAACCAGTGGGAATGAAAGATGAGCTTAGAGACAGAGAGAGAGAGGGGGAGAGAGAGAGAGCAAGAGAGAAAGAAGAGACAAAGAAAAAGCTTTTTTTTCTAAAATCGCCAACAAGCAATCATATTGTCATTACAAAAGTAAACTTGCTGAGTCAGAGATGTTGCTTAAAACATTAAGGTATATCATGCCATTAACGTTTACACTTGATTAAGCCAAGCCCTAACTTTTTTTGGTGTGCTTTTTTAGTATCTAGAGAATTAAAAAACACAACTTCACACCCTTAATGCACAAGAATGTCAAATGTCTCAGTGAAGTATCAGTTTTGCAAAGACTGCAGATATAAAGGACAATTAGACTGCAACATTCAAATCTGCACATTTGACTGAGCATGCTTGGACATATAAACAGTTCAACAGCATGACTACTGAAGCACAAAAGTCTATGGTTGGTCCTTTTGGTTGCTTCCACTTACATTCTTTGCAAATGAGAAGAGGTTATTTCTATTCACTGGTTGAGCATTTGCCCCTTTCGGTGTCACTGTCCCCTTTTCCCTTTCAACAGGCAAGTTGCAGAAAGAGCAGTTTACAGGGAAGTAGTGTGAGAAAACAGGCTGTGGGAGATTTTGTTATTTCTCACACAGGTGGAAAGGAGAGAGAGAGAGATTCAGATGTCTTCTGCTTCATAGGTTGGATGTTTCTACTGTACAGCCCATATACAGGGCAGCAACCATTGGCCTGGGAAACATACATTGGTTGTGACCATGCTGAGCACTCTTATATACTCACTGATCCTGATTAAAAAAGCAGATCAAAAGACTATGAGAAAAACAGTCCTGACCACACACCCAGAGACAAGTTGGGAATTCTGCCCCACTGTTTAGATATAGCAACACTGCAGGTACCACTCATGGTGTGTTCCAGTCTCAGTTTTACAACTGCAAGCATCTTCTTCCAGTTTCCTTGGTTCCATTTTGTTGATCACAGTCCTAAACAACAGAAGTGGTATTTACATGGCGCCTGCCAACACCAACATCTTCCAGTATTCATGCTGCTGCCGTCGCCATGTGTCAAACCCAACAGCACACCACTTCAGACGCTGCAAGCCAAAAATGATCATTCAAATTGAGATGCTCGAGTCTTTGAAATTGGTACATGGCCCAGAGCAAAGGAAAGCTCACTCCCTCCTTCACAGATAGAGATCTGGAGCTCTTAGTGGATAAGGTGGTAGAGAAGATAGTTGTTGTTCAAGATGATTTTCATAGGAGGCCTCATCACCAGACCAAGCTTGCTTGGACACAAATTTCAGCCCACTTCACTGCAGTGATCTGGGTGAAGCAGGATGTCCGCAGCGTAAAAAGGTCAATAACCCTCTTTGCTCCAGAACTCTCCTGCTCATGCATTACCACTAAATGCGCTTCAATCAATTCAATCCCTCCCTTTCTTCAACAGCAGCAGAAATTGGGCCTGTGCTGGACTGTTGTTTTAATAGCTCCTGACTGATCTTGTATCCCCAGGCTGCTTGTACTTGACCTGCAGAATTGATCATGGCCCAATCACCAGACTGCAAGGACATGGATCCTGGCACTGACTGACTAACCCCAACTTGCAGACTAAAATCAAATAAGCCCCTTGACTGACTGCAGTGGTATCCCGACTGACTGCATCCCCTTTCACCCCATTAAAGACTTCTCTCCTTTGACATTCACACATGATCATCTTCTTTCTGCACATGCAGTGTGTTGGCAGTGTAAATTGCTGGAATATACTACTGGTGTGATGTTGACGAACAACAGCGCCATATAGCACCAGGGCAAGCCCTTTTACTGTTCAATGATGCCTACCTGTCTCCCTACAGTAAAAAAAAATGCAAGACATGGGGTTGGAGCCCATAACAGGGCACTGAAGATCTTGTGTACTAGAAAACAATGTCAATCTGCACAGAAATGATGAACGTGTCTTAAGAACACAATGAGATGTAAACAGAGGCTGGCAGACCCCAAGTAAGTGCAAAGTGAATGGGCACTAAGAATGATAAGACATGCATTTACATAGGATGTATTTTATGTGCTAAGTGATCATAACTCTATGACATAGAAGTCACTGGAGTCTCTTAGCTCCAAAGAGTTGAATCGCTGAAGTGGTGGCTAAGGTAATCTAAGAACAGGTGATTAATGACATGGTGAGGCTGGTGGTTTGCCAATACCAACCAGTATGGATGAAAGACCGAGCAAGATGATAGCAATGGAACACGTAGGAATCTTGTTGTGAAAATAGTTGGATGATGGCTCATACAATTAGCAAACCACAGCCATCAGATACCTGCCTTGATTTGCATGGCGAGAATTTGCCCCAACTAGCTTCTCAGATCAGGAGAGTAGAACTGAAATTAAGATGAGCTGAAGTTTTAATGAGATGCATGAAAATGAGATAGTTGCTGTTCAATGGTGAGATTCTGAAGTACCATGTAAAGCTCAAGGGGAAAATCAGAAAATTAGTTTTCAATAATAAGATTCTGATTTTTCGATGCTCACCATATTGTATTCGCCTACTCTTCTTGCCATTATTCACACCAGACCAGGAAGGGGTCAATTAGACTGAAAACTTCCATTTCATCACAGATCAATGTTCCGGCCAAGGGTCATAAACGACATATAGGCAAACTTGCAAACTCAAGTTAAATTTAGTTATTATGAACATTGGATTTCTTACTCAATCAAACATTTCATTTGAAAGACTTATTTTGTTAATTATAAACGAACCCTACAGCAATAGCAAGCTTTATCACCTGAACCTGTCACTGGATCTGGTATGGATACTTAAGCCTTTGAAATAACAAAACCCCAAATGTTTAGATCTATAATATTCAAAAGATCAGGACTGTGATGTACATAGCTTAAAAGACCAAGCTCAACTTCTTTCAGGGAAAAGTAATGACTGAAGTACATGCTGAAATGTTGTACACAATGCTGATAGAACGGGTTATAGCAATCAAAATGGTTACCTTTTGTTTGTGTAGCAAAACTAAGCATTAGTTTAGCAAATAGATCTGGACTCTCAAACTTTTCTTCTTTGGCTTTGATCCAAAAACACGTCTCTGTCATTTCCTGAGGTCCAATCTGGAATCGAAAAAGAACATTAATTGATATTGTTCAAAAATGTCTATATTTATAAACTGCAACAATGGATCACAATCTGAGAACAGATTATAATCAAGTATTGCAGAACATTAAGACTTAAATTAGTTTTTCTATTTCAACCAATTGTCTGCTAACCTTTGGGACTACACAGAAATGAAACATTAATTTCCTCTTTTTACCCATGTCGATTAAATGGGTACAATTCTTCATAATTGATAAAACAATTAGTAGATTCAAAATAGAGTTTCTTACACACAGCAACATTTCTTCTTGCCAGTTATTTACTTAAAATTGGATTATGACCTCTTTTCAAAAAAATCTAAAACAGCTAACAAAATTTGAAAAGAAACAGCTACTATTGTTGACAAAATACTGTAACATATTACTGCATTAAATATTACTGATGCAAGGATGCATTTTTCATTGAACAAGGCACTAATAAGCAATCCACTGTCGGTATCTTTACAACAGCTTAGCTACTGAATCACAGCGTACTCTGCTGACTTTCAGTTTAAAGTACAATTTCACCAAAGATTCTGCATTAAAGGAAACAATTCTCCATTTGGATAGATGCACAAACATATTTTTTTTAATCAAAACTTGTAATTTATTTAATTCACAGTAGGTCCTAATCAGAGTGCGTTAAATCTAAACAGTTTTAAGAATTTTTTTAAGATTACTTTCTCCGTGAACACATACGGTTGGTATGTGGTCATGTATCATAACAGTAAAAATTCTGGAAAATCTAATAATCCTGTAAGGTGAAAACAGAAACCAGAGAAAACAGAACTGTCACCATAAGCCACATGATGTAATTATAAATGGATGGCACCACAGAATGATTCCCCTGAATCACCAATAAAATCTGACCATTTCATAGAACAAAAATGAAATCCCAGTTTGTTAGCGTTAATGTGGATCTGAATATTTTGAAATTTCGCAGTAACCTTGAACTTCAATTTTTCTACCAAGCAGTTTATGTAAAGAAGTCTGATGCAGCAACTGTCTGTCACATTACATATGCTGATTCAAATATCATATTTCCAGAAAAGAAATTTATCCACATAAGAGTTTGAGACTACTTAATATATATTGACATTAATGACAAAAGGCAGAGAAGTTACTGTCGCAGTTAAAATGGAAATTAACATTTTTCTTTTAAAAGTAAAGGTATTGAAGGAACAACAAAAAAAAACCAGGAACGGGCCATTTAGCCACACAAACCTGTCCTGACAGTTGTAATTACTGGTGATCTGAGACAAAGCACATAAAGGTAATGGTGTGGAGAACAAGCAGGAGTGAGAAGTCTGAACGTGTATGCATAAAATGCTCATCACAACCCCTGGACACCCTAAAGCATTTTACAATCAATGAAATACTTTGGAAGTGCAATTATTGTTAGTATGTAGAAAATGAGACAACTAAGATGCACATAACAAGCTGTTCAAACAACAATTAAATAAATATGCTTGTCTGAAGTACTTATTGAGGGATACCTTATGTCAGGACAGTAGGAGAAGCACAGAAGCAGGAGGCAGTCATTCAGCCCATCATATCGCTAGCACAGCCTTATAAATGCTTCCTCCTCACAAAATGATCCAATAAACTTTGAAATCATTGCACAAAAAGAATTTTCTTCATGGCATTATTCTTTCTGCAAATCATGTTAAAGTAATGTCCTGTGTACCATGGAAAGAATCATATGTTCTTATTATAATGGCTTTGATCACTACATTTCATGTAAGGAATGTGTTTTTTTTTTAAACCCTCAGAGTGATCAATATTTTCTGCCAGCAAACATTCTGAGTGCTTAAAAATTAGAAAGGATATTTATTATCATGTATTTACCCCGGATATGGAAATCACAGCATCTCACTCACGATAGATTCAGATGATCACCAACACAAAGACTAGATATACACACAGATAAAACTAAGCAATTGGAATGCATCATTTTCTCAGTTTTTAATCATTGCAAGTCTGTAGTTTCTTAGAGGAGTTAAAATTTTAAATGAAGGGAAACTCTCAAGAGCAGAGGATTCTTGGTGAAATGTGAGGCTTCCTATATTTGAATTACCAGGAGGTTGGTTCTCAAATGAATTTGTAAGTGAAATAGAAAGCACTCCTTCACCACTTTTAACACATTGCCCTTCACTACCTTGGATACTTAAATAACACACCGCTGGTTTAAATACTTCTATATGGAACTCCATCTCTGCAGAACATTAGGATTCTGTCGTTATATTAAAAGCCTAGGTTATGTCCTCCATATGTGACTTATATACATTCAAACGTGTTTTCTCCAAAAATACAGGAGTGTTCATTATACACCCTGTATTGACATTTGATGCATTGAGATGCACTTAGCCTAGATTGGAGACAGGAAACCAACATAACACAAAGAAGATTGATGGGATTTGTTCATATTCATCAAAATATTAACTTTTGACGTAAAAATAAATGAAGCCAGAAAACACGCTAGGTCAGGCACCATGCATACAGAGAAAGAGAGGTAAATTTATAGGTCCGTGATCTTTCATAAGATCCAATCCATAGTATTTTGTTTTTGAGTTCTGATGCAGCCATTTTTCACAGACATGATGCCTCTTGTTAATGATTTAACCATAAATAAGGGTATGAGGGTTACAAATGTCCATATTTAATCAGGTAACTGCTTGAGATGCAACACTGTGCAGAACTCAAAATGCCCAAGGTCACAGTTTGCCGACGACATTTTAACAGCCTCTGTATGTTTAATTATTTTTGAAGTAGTGCCTGAAAATTCATCATGCTCTGAACTATGACATTTGGGTCTTGATCGTTCCATCGATGAAACAGTTTGTACCTATCTACTCCCACTAGACCCCTTACAATAAGGCATACTCCTATCAAATTTTCTTTGAACCTTCTCTTCTTGAAGAAGAACAGCATCAGCTTCTCTGATCTATCGAGGGAACTGAAGCTCCTAGTCCCTTGTGCTTAAAGCTATAATTAAAAAAAAAATCAATGTATAAATTCCTGAAAGCTCATTTCCATTCTGAAGCATGCAATGTTCTTAGACTGAAAGCTACGTTTTTGCAAAACATCAAAATTAGTGAAAAAGTACAGATTCATTGACATAATAGAATAACATTGCCAATCCTGCAGTGTTGTAGAGTCAAGATTCATAGAATTTTGCTCAGGATTCTTGTGAAGAAGTAAAACAAATTACTCTCAGGAAGAGGTGAGTATTTTTTGTGTGGTAGAAAACGTGACAAAGGTTTTGTAGATACAGTACCATTGATAAATCCAAATCTGCATTGTGTATGTGTGTTTCAGAAAAAGACCACCTAGTTAATAGTAACAACATATGATCGATAAAGCTAGATTTCAGCACAGACTTATCTAGTTATAGTAGCTGGAATCATAACACTATGTGGTGCCACATATGTCAAAGAATGATGTGAATGCCTGCTTACTGTACCCACTATTTGAAATGAAATTTACCTTTATATTTGAAGCATCATATGCCTGTTATTTTATGGCCAATTTATTTTGTTTCTGATTTGTGTTAAACTAACAAGCTGCAAAAAGTGAAACCTTGCTGGCCATTTCTTCTTTTGGCAATATTCAGTAAACTTGGTTATTTTGCTTCTCAGTTCCCTCACTGGGATCATATCAATACTCACTTTTTTTCTAAATTTCTTGCTCTGATTAGACGATGTCTGTAACTGTCAGATAAATTCTCATTTTATTCTAAACCCAGCTCTATTTTTGAATGTTGTTAAACTTGCAGTTATAGAAGGAATCAAATCTCCTGAAGAAAACCAGTCAACTGAAGAACATTTTTGTCTCATCATACATTTTGGTTTATATCTGCAATGTGGAACTATGAATTCTGATATGGCCCACCAAGGTAGTGTAATGTTTATATGGTTGACAGCAAAATAATACCTTTTGCAGGACTCTGCTAGGCACTATGCCAAATATTGAGGAAACATCAAAGCATTTGACACATTAGCAAATTTTAAAATGTTCGGTGGCTTACAAAAATAATTCACCAATGTTTTTAATATATTTTGATGTTTCATGAATAAATATTGTGGCAGAGGCTGGAGTTACAATCTGACTGCAAGTGCACGGTATTTGTCAGAGTCATAGAATCATGGAGTTATACAGCACGGAAACAGACCCTTCTGTCCAACGTGTCCATGCCGACCAGAACTGATCTAATCCCATTGCCAGCATTTGGCCCATATCCCTCTAAACCCTTTCTATTCATACACCCATCCAGATACCTTTTAAATGTCATAATTGTACCCACCTCCATCACTTCCTCTGGCTGCTTGTCCCATACATGCAGCACCGCCTGCATGAAAATGTTGCTCCTCAGGTTCCTTTTAAATCTTTCCCCTCTTACGTTAAACCTATGCCCTGTAGTTTTGGACTCCCTGAGCCTGGGAAAAATACTTGGCTATTTGGCCTATCCATGCCCCTCATGACTTTGTAAACCCCTGATGCTTGAGGGGAAAAAAAAGCCCTAGCCTATTCAGCCTCTTCCTACAGGTCAAACCCTCCAATGCTGGCAACATTCTTGTAAATCTTTCCTGAGCCCTTTCAAGTTAATACCATCTTTTGTTTGGCAGCAAGGGCAGAACTGAATGCAGTATTCCAAAAGTGGCCTCAGCAATGTCCTGCACAGCCGCAATATGATATGCCAACTCTTGTACTGAATGCACTGACCAATGAAGGCAAGCATGCCAAACGCTTTCTTTGCCACTGTCTACCTGCAACTCCACTTTCAAGGAAAGGATGCACGTACACCCCTAGGTCTCCGTTTGGTAACATTCCCCAGTGCCCTACCATTAACTGTGTAAAGCCTGCTCTGACTTACCCTGCCAAAAATGCAACACCTCACTTTTATCTAACTTATCTGCTACTCCTTGGCCCATAGGCCCATCTGATCAAGGTCATGCTGTACTCTGCGATAACCTTCTTCA